TGGTCAAATTTCTTAAACTCACTAATCCTCAATTTCTCTATCTGTATAATGAGGTAATTATGCATTCCTCTACTGCAGTGGTTCTCAACCTTTTTAATGCTGCGACCCTTTAATACAGTTCCTCATGTTGTGGTGACCCCCAACCATAAAATTATTTTTGTTGCTACTTCATAACTATAATTTTGCTACTGTTATGAATCGTAATGTAAATATCTGTGTTTTCCGATGGTCTTAGGTGACCCTGCTGGCGGTTCTCAACCTGTGGGTCCCAGCAGGTTGAGAACCGCTGCTATAGAGTCTAAGACCAACTAAGAGTACCTAGTTGAAAACCTATCTCTCCATGATATTTTTGCATAATTAATTTTATTTAAACAAATCTCATGAAAAAAAAACAACCTCTAAAGTGAAAGTTTATGTAGAATAACAAAAGGATTTATATCCATTTACTTTTATTGAATCTTTACCAGATTAATTCTACTTCTTCTGTAAAATATAGCAATTAAGTATCCCATCTCTTATACTTGAATAATCTAGAAGGTTTACCTCAAATCAGTGTGGCTTTGTTTTTGTTTTTGTTGTCTTGTTTTACTACTGTGACAAAAACCAATCCATGAGGGGGAAATGTCTCACCCATTAGACTATGACCTAAGTTTTACAGATAAGGTGTTTCTCATGTGGGGCTATTGTCTTCAGTGTCTAGAAGTGCTAGAATTTGCTCCTGAATGACATTTCAGAGAGATTCTTGATTGCCCAAGTCAATATTCAGCCTGGAGGGTCCTGACAATGCAAACTTGTGTGGCCCACCGTTATGGATAGTATTTGTGATAGGAAGGTCTGAAGGACCATCCCTTGTAAAGAGAAGTGATTGTGTGCTGGCCAAGATTCCCTGTCTGATCTGATTGTTTCATTGAGTGCAATGAATCACATAAAATACACTTTCCATCATCATGGCTTGATGAATGTGAGAGGAAGATGTAATTTATCATCTAAACTAGTGTGACCGAACTAAAGGGGGTTTGTTCACCTGTGCACATCAAAGACCAATCAAATCCTAACAGGAGTTTGCTGCCAATAAAGTAAAGGTTTGATGTTAAGGGAATGGCACCAAACCTAGAGTCGCAGGTGAGCTCGTGTTCAAAGACCGAGCTCCCCGATGGCTTCTAGAGGATGGGTTAAATAGGGGGGAATTGTTAGACATGGTCACTAATGGAGTTAGGGTCACAGCTAGGATCAGTGCTAGGGTAGGGGGTAGTTGATCAGTGCATCTGGTCCTGATGTCAGCCAGGGTGTCACCTGTCTGGTTTCCCAAGGGTGTGGTCAGTGGGGCCTTCATTTAATTCAGTTAAATCAGGTTTCATTCTGCCCCAAGTTTCTAGTTTTGTTCCCAGTCTCCCACTGAAGAGCCTTTGAGCCTTGGCAGAAAGCAGTTACCTTCGCAGTAAGCGCGGCAGTCATTGGTCCTGGACAAACAGCAACATGCTTTCCCCTTCCTCTGCCACAGCCTCTGCACATTCAGAAACTGTACTCAGAAAGACATAAGATTTTCTTTTGTCTTTAAGGCATTTAGATTTTCTTTTACGTAAATTAAAATTAACGACCTGCTCTCTTCATTTGGGCTCTAACGCTTTCCTCTTAAAATAATACTACTATGTATCCTAGTCTATCCAAATGGAGGACCACAGCTAAAAAGCAGGCATATCCATAAATGTGAAATAGCTCAAGTCTTTTAATACTTTATAAGCTTTAGCTCAGTCTCTCAGAGAAAGTGTACCAGCAGTTGATTAATGAAAGTGCCACTTCCAATTATGGCTGTGTGACCGCGTCTTCCTTGAGCACCACTGTATACAAGTTATGCATGACAAGCTGGGGAATACCAAGAAGACACTGGTTCCTGCCCTCAAGGAGTATAGCTCAGTTCAATAAAATGTTGTGTGCCTGATGAATGCTGACCACCCAGAAGTATTGACTTTACCAGGTCAGGTAGGGTAAGGTCACAATAAGAAAAATTATTATATAAAAGAAAATTTATTTAATAAGAAAAATTATTATAAACCTGGTGCCATAAAACTCAAAGCCTGGAGGGTTTGATAGAGCAAGGTTTAGCAAAGACTTCCTGAAAGCAGAGGCCAGGCATAGTGAAGACACTTGAAAATAATTACCTGAATGCTAGTCATCGAATCAAGCAGATTCCATGCATCATCTCATTTTAAAATTGTGATGTAAAGATCTTTATTTGTAGTAAAGATATTGAAAAATATGGTTAGCAAAACAAGAGCGATTATGCTGGACATTCTATTTTGTAACTAGGTTTTGCCCTTTAATACATTTTGGATATTTCTTATCACTAAGTATGCTTTTTCACTTTATTTTTAGTGACTACCTGATTTATTTAACCATTTCCCTTATAACTAAGCTAGGTAAGATGTAAATACAAGAAAAAAAATTTTTAAAGGAGACAATTAAGACCATGAAGAAAAATATGTAATCTAGAAGGTGGGCACTTTTTTAAAAGAGATTTTATTTTTTTTAGAAAAGCAAAATTGAGAGGGAGTTACACACATTCACAGCCTCTCCCATTATCAATATCCCCCTCCAGAAGAGTAGTATATTTACTACAACTGATGAGCCTCCATTGACATATCATTTCATGTTGTAATCACCCAATGTCCATACTTCACATTAGAGTTGATTCTTAGTCTTGTACATTCTGTAGGTTTGGACAAATGTATAATGGCACATATCTATTATTGTATTATACGAAGGGTGGGCACATTTCTTAATAAATTATATTAAAAAACAAGTAGTTTTAAATACATAAAAATTTAAAAATCTTTTAGGTAATCAAGATTATGCAACCTCAGAGGGAAGGCAGGGGAGAAAGGGGTGAGAGATCAACCAAAGGACTTGTATGTATGCATATAAGCCAAACTCATGGACACAGGCAGTAGCGGGGTAAGGGCATATGCTGGGGGAGAGGAGAATGAGTGGGGAGAGGTCAATGGAGGAAAAAGGAGACATACTTTAAACAATAAAGAATTAAATTTTAAATTACTATAAATAAAATTCTTTAATTTATCTCATTCAATTCTCACAATAATTTAATGAAGTAGGTGCTTAGATTTCTTTTAAAGAAGAGGAAACAAAGGTGCAGAAAAATGACACTCCAGATCAGTGGACTTCTGGGATATTAATTATCTTGGTGAAAAATAAATGTTGATAGAATAAGAGACATATTGAAGAAGTAGTTCAAGTTTAGTCTTTGCAGCAACCTTTGATATGAATTCCAGCTACTACGTCAAGGTGATGGATGAACTTCATTTTAACAGTTAAAAATATTATATTTTGCCTTGCTGGCATGGCTCAAGGGTTGAGCATCAACCTATGAACCAGGAGGTCACAATTTGATTCCCGATCGGGGCACATGCCTGGGTTGCAAGCTCAATCCCCAGTGTGGGATGTACAGGAGGCAGCCAATCCATGATTCTCTCTCATCATCAATGTTTCTCCTCCCCCCTCTCTCTTTCTCTCTGAAATCAATAAAAATGTATTTTAAATATATACTTTTTCATTCCATTCTTTGAACTTTGTTCACTTCTATACCTTTCATACACTTTCTCATTATAGTTGTTGTGACAAAAATGATACCTTTTTCAGGTGTGACTTCATATGCAAAGTTTCAGAGCTATCAAGGACAAATTAGATGCTAATTACTGATAAAGTATAAAATCCCTTTTTTTCTATCCCTTATGTAATAGACTATATATGCATCCCTTTAATAGTAGAAATTATCAAAACAAGAGGAGAAAAGCCAAAACTGGCCCAACTGGTGTGGCTCAGTGGGTTAAGCATGGTCCAGAGCCACAAGAGGTTGAAGGTTTGATTCCCAGTTGGGGCACATGCCTAGGTTGTGGGCTCTACCCCCAGTGCAGGGTGTGCAGGAGGCAGCCTATGGATTTTGATGCTTCTGTGTTTTCCTCTCCTTTTGTCTTTCTCAAAAAAAATCAATAAAAACATACTGAAAAAGAAAAGCCAAACTGAACTATTAGCAATGGGGTGAAATAAAAAATTGATTATTGGCTATCAGCATAGTTTATCAATAGGAAAATCTGGAATGAAAAAATTTAGAATATAAATGTTTTTAGGTCATATTTATGTGAATTCTATCAAGTTAAAAATCCCATCACATCTTGGATAAAAGCAGTTGGATTACTGATTGTTTACAGTAAAATGTTTCTGTGCAATTGATCTAAAATTTAATTTAAAATGGAGATATAATATTTACCTCCTCTGGAGTAACAAAATTTATGCTATGTAATAACCTTGACATGTTTATGGCATGATATTTAATGGGCACTCCAGAGCACTGGTGAATACCACAGTTTGGTCTGTTTTCTACATTTTTTAAGAATCTGGAGAAGCTGTAGGTAATGAAATTTACATCATAAACTTTTTGCATCTAGCTCAACTACTGCTGTCTTGATATTTAGCAAAAGGATAAGGACTGTGTGTTCTATTAACTTCATTCGTAACTGATTTAAGATATTTTAATAGCTGTTTAGAATTAGTGTTTAAATCCATACTACAAAGAATATTAAGATTTTTGGCACAAAACAATCCTTCATGTAGCCACTTAAAAAAATGAATGGAGCCGAAACCGGTTTTGCTCAGTAGGTGGAGTGTTGGCCTGTGGACTGAAAGATCCCAGGTTCGATTCCGGTCAAGGGCATGTACCTTGGTTGTGGGCACATCCCCAATAGGGAGTGTGCAAGAGGCAGCTGATTGATGATTCTCTCTCATTGATGTTTCTAACTCTCTATCCTTCTCTCTTCCTCTCTGTAAAAAATCAATAAAATACATTTTAAAAAATGAATGGGCTTTATTGTTTAACTCCATGTATGTAGATATATTCTTGGATAACATATAACTATATACATATATTTTTATACAAAATGTACATATTGCATGGTTTACAAGTACACTTTTTATTTTGTCCCAAACAGATAAACAATCAGATTCTGTATGGAAGAAGTCACCAGAATGCATCTGCCATTATTAAGACTGCCCCATCCAAGATCAAACTGGTTTTCATCAGGTGAGATAGATATATCATAAAATCTGAGCTCTGTCAGGAAATGTTATTATCTATGTAAGACTTTTTTTTCCTTTGGTTTGTTTAACAAAATCACTGTATTGTGAATACATTTTCCTTTTATAACTGTCACTGTAGGAAAAGTCTAGTTTGTTTTGAGTATGTGGCTGTCCTGTTATTTGTTTCACATGATAGTATTGATAGTTGAAACTAGTATTTGTATTTCAGTTTTTAAAAATTCTTCCCTTCCTGGATATGATTCCCTCTCTACAAATACAATAGCATCTTCTAGCTTCTCCTCCTTCTGTCACAATCATTTGGTATAGGTGCTGACTCATTAATGTCTACATCAATGAATAGGCAAGAAAACAGAGAACTCAGGAAACTATAGAAGCTTCATATTAGCAGTACTGGTGAGAAATCCAGAGTGGAGTTCTGCTGTCTAGAGTTACATAGTGTTTGGGGCTCCATATGTACCTACACCTTGCCTGATAGCTGACTGGGCCTTTTTGGCAGAAGTGAATCAGATGTGGGAGTTCTCATTGGTGGTAGCCACCATTGCCTCATCAGTTGTGAAAAGAGCTTTGATTCTCTGTTATTGGTCTAAGATGACAGATAAATCTTAATTATTTTTGGGTGACATACTAACCCTGTTTTTTGTTTGTTTGTTTGTTTGTTTTTAAAATATATTTTATTGATTATTTTTAATTGATTATGGTCTCACATAATTGTCCTTATTCCCCTATTCCCATCCCAAACCCCTCCCTAGATATGACCCCCCCCCCCCAACTTCCATTGTCCATGGCCACTGGCTAGGCCCATATGTATGCACACAAGTCCTTTGATTGATCTCTTCCCCTTTACCTCCACCCTCCCCTACTTTACCTCTGAGGTTTGAGAGTCTGATTGCTGGTTCTCTTTCTCTGGGTCTGTTTATGTTGTTCATTATTTCCTCTAGATGTGTGAGATCATGTGATTCAAGAAATACCCTTGTAAAAACCTAAACTGCAACAAGCCATAATGGTTATGCTTAGAGGCAAATGAATCAGTCTGTAGTGAGTTCCTTTCTGGGCCAACAGTTCTTTTGTGTCCCAATTTCAATGCCAAATAGTTCCTTATGTGTACATGCCAGCCATGATATTTCAGATCTGGTTGGTGGACAAATGGTGGTACTGGTTTGGTCCTGGGCATCCTTCAGCAACCCACAGCTGCTGTCTGCTGGTATGCTGAGACGTCGTCAGCATCTTCCATCTCTGAATTGTGTCTCTTCTGTCTTCATGGCTGGATAACCCTGTATGTTAACTGTTGCTCTGTTTCTCTTCCTTCTGGGCCTCAGTTATTTGTAAAAATGGAAATAATAAAACATCTGCCTCATTGTGATATTTCAAAAATTTGAAATGTTCAGTAGAGTGTCTAGCATAGAGCAAAGAATGAAAGTGTGTTAACTGAAATGAGTATTTTATGATGGTGATTATTCTTCTTCTTCCTTTTCTCTTACCTGTCAGTAAGACCTACCCAATCCCAGGGGACTGCTGGGATTAAAGGGTAATTTTATTCCCTGATATGGGCACTACTGTAGGTGATTAAAATATTCCTTCCCACACCATTACTTCAACCTCAGGGGGTGTTATTGCTTTGCTTCGAAAGAAATCCTACATTGGCAACTTTTTCTCTCACTCACTAACATTTTCTGGTCTTCCAGTCTTTTACTCTTGTTTCCAGTGGGAAAACCTTTCTTCTTTTTGTATGTCTTTGTGTGTTGAGGTGACCTTTTCTGACTTACTCACCTTGATTTACTCTGTTAGTCACAGATCTTCTGTTTGAATTTCTTTGCCCTTCCTATTGCCAGATGGAAATTAAACTAAAATTAAACTTAGATGGTGAAAAGAGGAACAGACTTGAGGAATGTTCAGCCACTCAGGAGTTTGGAATCATGGGACAAGTGGGCAGAACATTTTGTGACGTGTATGATTGGCTGGCCATGGTGCTATACACCTGAGACTAGTAAAAAGTAATGTTGAAAATGAACTGTAGTTGAAAAATTAAAAAATATTAATTTAGAAAAAAGAGTTTAGGTCCTGGCCAATGTGGCTCAGTTGGTTGGAGCATCATCCCATACACCACAAAGTGTAGGCTCAGGGAACATGCCTGGATTTTGGGTTCCATCACAAATTGGGGTGTGTGTCCATTTGGGGCACGTGTAGGAGGCAGCTAATTGATGTTTCTCTCTCACATTGATGTTTCACTCTTCCTTTCCCTCTTCCTCTGTCTAAATATCAATAATAATAATATTTTAAAAAGTTTAGGGCAGGACCGGTTTGGCTCAGTGGATAGAGCATCGGCCTGCGGACTGAAAGGTCCCGGGTTTGATTCCGGTCAAGGGCATGTACCTTGGTTGAGGGCACATCCCCAGTAGGGGGTGTGCAAGAGGCAGCTGGTCAGTGTTTCTCTCTCATCGACGTTTCTAACTCTCTGTCCCTCTCAATTCCTCTCTGTATAAAATCAATAAAATGTATTTAAAAAAAAAAGTTTCGGATGTCCATTGAGAGAAGTCCATACAAGTAAAGAATTCAAACCACTTAGCTTTAAAAACTTTGCATAAAGTTGTATGAGGAATGCATGAGAAGACTTACACAGCACTCAATGGTGACTGCGCTCAAGTGCTCAGCACAGGCTGGAGACTGCTGCAGTGCTAATGTTAATGCTCCTGTTGCCTCTGTAGCATTTGTGCCTTTGTTATCCATCGTGGGCCATCCCATTGTAAAGCGAGCAAAAAGAAAATTGACTAGGATCCAAGAGAAATCATTTGATGCAATTAAGTAGTTGAGAAATAGAACCCCCCTCCTTCAAGAAAGAAAGATTAAATGACTTGAAGTTGTGTAGAATACAGAGGAGAAAGCTGAGCAGAATTTTAATAATAGTAAGAAAGCCCTATTGATTTAGTGTCTGATGATTTCAATTTTGATTATTCAAAATGTACCAGTATCAAGGAAAGAATTTGTTCAGTAAATTAATGATAAAGCATAACTGAGGATGTTACTGAATATTTATTGACTAGAAGTATTTTAAGCAATTTAGAAGTATCAATGTACATTCAAAATACATACCTAATTATGGGCATTTCTTGCATATAAGTCCTAATACATAATGGGCTCTATATATAGGAAGCTCTATATATTATAGGGAGAAAAAAGATGTAGTCATAATTCTGAACAATCTAGCCACTTTTAGACTATACAGGAAAATGAACTTAAATTTAATTAAGAGTTATATATACACTGCTAACAACTGTGATTCCGTATATAGCTCTGATAATTTGTATGCCAACATTTTATTTATCAATACTTCAGTTTTCATAAAAGAAGAAACTATTCATTTGACAGAAAACTCTTTACTAAAGTGATAAATTCTTTTCTAAAGCAAGATTGAACTATAAGGCTTTATAAGTAATTAAAAAACAACTATATTCACCTAGCTAGGTTTGAAACTGGATTTAATGCTTGGGCTGTGTAAGCCTGGTCACTTTCCTGATCTATATAAACCTATAGCAATCTCATGAATTGTCTAATATATTTATATATATGAATTGCCTGGCATATGGGCTCAACAGCATTCACTGCCATAGTAGTGGAGATGATGATGATGACGACAATGATGATGATAATGATTGTGGTGATGGCAGAAAAATGAGTGGGAGGAAGGAAGTAAAGGAAAAGAAGTCTTAGAGAAGGAAAGAAGAGGCAAAAGAAGAATCACTCCCCATATGTATGTGATCTAATTTCAGAATCTTGACTATTTTTTTAAGTGCAGCACATTCACAATTTTAAAATGCCTTCATTAACATGATAATGTTTAAACACTGAGAGAGATAGCTATGGACATTATATCAAACCATTCCTAGTGTTAAAATAAGAGACATGAACCAAACCTGAACTAAAACATCTTTTAGTTCTCTGTCAGCTGCTGCTGTTTCTCCTCCTCCTTCTCCTCTTCCTCCTTCGTCTTCTTCTTTTCCTTTTAATAAGGGCCCGATATTCTACAAAGGAGAGAATGCTTTTTTTGTTGTTTTTTAGTAGAGTGCTGTTTGAGTAATCTATAAAGAGGAATCTAATTAACATGCCTTAATCTTCATGTTAATAAAATATATTAGATTCTATTATCAACTAGTGTCAAAAGTTAAAGCATTCAAGGGAATCAAGAAAATATCATATTGCTCATCAGCTCTGTACATCAGCGATGGAAGCATAATGGCAGATTGGTGCTCTATTCTTGTGTAGTAACCTGTGCATTTCAGATGTTATCAACATATATATCACCCTGTCTCCTTCAGGCTGATTGTTCAGTTCATTAACCATGTAGATACATCTTTCAATTTCTGGCTATGTATTATTGTTTTCACTCTATTGTTTCAAGAACCCCAATTTGCCTTTAGGGAACCATTAAATTGGAGCAGTTAGATATTGACTTGTTATCAAGTTTCAGGAAGTAAAACTTAAATCATCTTGGCACAACTGATATAATTATACTTATAAACTGCATAACATGTATTGTGTTATATATTATTACTTTAAAAACTAATTTTTATACATTGAATTTCTTTAAAGTTAGTGCTACTATTTTACAATATTTTCTTTCATAGTTGAAATTATTGATTCTCTGTGCATTTCCAATAAATAGAAATTTTTGGCTTTTATACCTTGGTAAATTTTTTAAATTTATTGACAATTGTGATAAAATTGGGAACTGGCCACAAATTTAAGAGTATGATTAATAGAAAAGTAATCACAGCAAGCTGTTAAATATGCTGCAGGCAGCATATTGATTAACCAGGGCCTTTAATCTATAGTAATGTACATTTGTGTGATCATGTCCTTGTCATATTCTTTTAACACTCGTATTTATTCAGATACTAATTGATCTATAGTTCACAAAGTGTCTGTGAGTTATTAATGAAAATTAGTAAGTCACCGTTATGTATATATGATTCACATAATCACTCACAC